AATTAATGATATCAAAAGTATCAGTAATCTCTGGATGGTGCTATACAAACTAGTTCAAGAGATGTACAGTGGTTCACCTTTATCTGTGTCCTGGGAATATGTTCCAGGACTCTTGGTGTAGGCAGTAGGGATACGCTGGACAAAGGGGTGACTCACAATCTGGGCAGGATGGAGCAGGATGGCCCTGGATTTCATTATGTTATTGAGAATGGTATATAATTTTAAACTTACGGATTATTTCTGGAATTTTCCATTTCATATTTTCGGACCATGGTGGACCTTGGGTAACTGAAACCATGGGAAACACCCTACAGATAAAGGGGGAAACTACTATATTCTAAAAGTTTATAAGATAAAGCAATTCGATGATGATATTAAATGCCATTGCACTGATCTCTGCAAAAGCCCCTCATTCATTAATCCATTCCTACATACATACAAATATAGCCTCCCATCGTCTTCATACACCATACACACCTTACATTTGTGCACTTGATTTTGGTGAAGCTGATGTTTATTCTGATCATGTTCAGAATGGGGCTCCTATAGCACAGGGGAGGTTTTTGGGATAGGTGGGTAAGAGAAATATAAGGAAGGAAGAGCAAAAAGGATTTGATTCTTTATTGTTTATACACCAGAACCACTGCCCTGCACATAATTCCTCCTTCTGGGCACTGGGTAGTGAGTTGGCAAAATGAGAAAGACAGAAATGGTAGTTACAAATATTTTACAAATTGTTAGAATAAACACTGGTTTTCATCTGAGTTGGCCATTAGGTTGGAATCTGCTTGGCCAAAAGGTCAAAACCCTTTCTCTGGCAAGAGTGATGCATCTTAAGTGTACTTTATTTTGCCAGGTAGACTAAAGACCTTCAAATCTTTGGCAGAGGTGTGAGAAATCCTACAGTGCATGTTTTCTCTCACTCTAGAAAAACTCCTGGACATGGATTACAGGAGCTTTTAGATCTTAGAATGCTCTTTATAAAATATATTTGGATGACACATGACATGGACAAAGTCTTATGGCATACTTCTGTTTTATTTAAGTATGTGATTGGATCAGGACTTAGGAAAGTTTATCAAGCTTTTTAGATACAATCTTGTAACCTCTAAAGATAGAGATGGCATTTAATGGCATGATAGTTGGCTGATAAAGATTACTGGACAATTTAATAGCATGTTGCATTCTTGTAATATATTCTTGTTCTTCTTTGAACACAGGACTATTACTCAGATTTAGAAATACAAATAATAGCTATCTGCATTTTTCTTCATTGTCTCTGTTAGACAGTGGGATATAGTATTGTCTTTAGTTTGGCTGCATTGCTGGACTTGAAACCCTGCGTAAACGCTCATACTCACTTAAGAAAATGAACCATGTATCTTGGTCTCATGAAGGAGATGGTTAGACCTGAGAAAGAGGATGACCTTTGTTGACTAAGCTGGAATTTGAAGTGGAGGTAGCGTGAAGTCAGGGTGAGGTTTTGGCTGTTTAGTCTCCCAGATAGAAAAGATGAAGACCGAGAATTGATATTCACACATCTTGATTAGGTACCTGGCATATCATTAGCCTTTCTTGAAGTCATTGAATCACAGGCTGTTTGGGCTGTTAGTAAATTTGGAGGTGCTCTGTTAATCTCTTCTCCCTCTCATTTTCCCATGAAGGAACCAAGTCTCAGACTTGAGATCACTGACATTTACCAGCTATTAAATGGACCTGTTCTTCTTTTGGTAATTTTTGAAAAACTTTAGAATTTTTTCTTTTCATGAAAAATTTCATTCTTACTGTTTTTATTTGATTTGATACTGTTTTGTGCTCAGAAAATAATGTCCAGAGGTGTCTTGGAATTGGCATCTGTGAGATTAGAGCTATGACCCCTCTAAGTTCTGAAGACCCTCTGTTCAGTAAAAGTGCTCACAGGTTGCTACAGGGACTTAGAGGTCCTGATATTCAACCTCCTCTAAGATGAATGCTTCCACCTATAGTGCCCTAGATGAGTGGATACCCATACTTGAGTCTTTCATTCACAACGTGCTTCCTCCTTAACCAAAACAGCCACTCCCATTATTATATAATCTATTTCTTATCGTATCATATTTAGCCAGTGACTTCTACTGGATTATTTAAAAATATACAAATGAATAGCACATGTGCCCTTTCTGAAGTTATTTTGACAGCTCCTTTGATAGCAGGTGGAATTTTTAAATGACGTCTTTGATGCCTGGATTGTCAGGACTTTGCATGGATTCTGGTGGCATTTCTGGAAATGTGACTAAAGACCCCTCTAGTGTTCTAGAATCTGTGTTCAATAACTTTGAACTCCATGCCATCTGAAGCCTTCTCCAGAGTGTGTGCTGGGTCCCTTGTTTACTCTGAAAGATTTCAGTAACACTCGGTAGACACTAAGGAATGCTTCCTCCACCTTCTTCATTTTAAACTCACCTGTTGGATTTAACAGTTCCTTTCTCATCTAATCAAGGAGCCGAATTCTGTTTCCCAATAATATAATCAGGGTAAGATGGTGATGTTGGCAAAGCACCAGAAGTGACTGGCAGGACACTGGAGAAAAGCTGACCAGTCTAACGTTTCCTTAGAAGGCAGCCTGAAATTGCTTACAAGCAGACGGGAGCAGGTCACTGAAAATGTAGACTCATGTATGAACACATTTAAGCCTCTCATTTGGGGGGTGTTCGGGGCTGCTTTCTGCAAAGCCCCTTAAGTATGCCTTGCACACCCACATCTCACCTTGAAGCCTTATTTCAGATGCAGAATAAAAAGACCAGAGTTCAAGTTCTGACTCTCTATTAATTATTAGCTGTTGAGCTTGGGTAAATCCCTTAATCTCTTTGAGGTTAATGATAACTACCCCAGAGAACTATTAAATGTGTCAAATGAAGTAATAGGTATGGGAATGCTTTGTTAACTCTACAAGGTCATAAAAAGGCAAGCTGCTATTATTAACACTATTTTCTGTAAGATTTTCCTGGCTAGTCCAGCTCTCAGGATTTTGCATTTCTCTTATTCACTGTTGGTACAGCCCTTTGGCCCTTTCAGTCTGTGATGTTGGTCAACCCTTCCCCTAGATAGAAATTTTCTCTCTGGCAAGTTTATTGCTTTTGTATTTTAAATTTTATATTATTTTAGAAAATGTAACCTTTGATAAAATCAAAGGATATATATATAGCATACATAAATTTTAAAGCATAAGACTGTGTTTTAGTCAACATTTATTGAGCACCTATGAAATGCTTTACATTGTGCCAGGTCCTGGGAATACCCAGACAAATAAGACAACCCTTGCCGTGAGACCTCTCCCTGTCTGAGATTGGGTGCAGAGGGCAGTGTTCATGTTCAATAAACAGGAAAAAGGGAAGAGAGGCTTTTCCACTCAGTGAAATTGAGGCTATGTTCTGAAAGTATTTACTGTTTTTCATGTAAAGTTTCCTTGTTTCTTTGTTCCTTCATTCTTTTTCGTAAAATGTAAACTCAATGAGTCTTGAAGCTATGTCTTCCACAAATATTTTTTGAACACCTACTCTGGAGCTAGGTACCCAACAGGACCTCAGCAGCAGAAGGGCAGATATCTTTGTCACTTGTTCACTGATATATCCCCAGACAATATGTGCTATCTAGAAGTACTTAATAAATATTTATCAAATGAACTGTCACATTGTATTAGTTAGGATAATACTAGCTCTCATAACTGATAATCCTTAGTAACCCAGCTTAATAAAATAAAAGCACAATTCTTGCTCATGTAAAGCCCAACTTGAAGTAGATTGGGTGACTCTGCTCCATACAGTCATTCAGGGACCCAGCCTGACAGAGGTTCTGCCATCTTCTGTGGCTTGTTTAGTTCACTTACTGTCAATCTGCAGCCAGGAGGCAGAGGAGGGGGAAGGAGTGGAGGGTTTCAAAAGGACCTTTTTGGCCAGAGCTCATTCTGTTGCCTGACTACATTTAGACAACTGGAGGAGTTGGGGCAAGAAATATAGATCCTTGCTGGTCTTATCTCAGCAATAATTTTGCATCTTGAAAGGAGTGCACAAATCTTTGAACAGCTGGTCATCTCTACCTTATGGACAAAATGCCATTTGTTTTCAATTCTGTTATCCCTAGCTCCCAGCAGTACAGAAGGTCAACAGATGGTTTCTGAATTGACATAAAAGAATAGGTTTTCTGTTGGGTATCGGACACTATAATAGATGTTTAAATTTTTTGGATAACGGGTTTAAAAAAAGGAAAGAATAAAGGAAGAAGAAGAAGAAGAAGCCATTTGCTATAATAAAGGTCTGCAAAGCATGATACCACGTTCCAGGATGGTAGGTGTTTAAGAAACACCTATTGAAAAAAGGTGAAAGAAACAGAAGAGAAAGAAAATGAAAGATAAGACAAAGGAAGAGGGAAAGAAAGAGGGACGGAAGGAGACAAAGAGAGAGAAAAGAAAAAGGAAAGAAGAGAGAAAAAGTAGAAAAGAGACAGAGGAAAGGAGAGGATGAAAGAGAAGTTGAACAGGAGAAAGAACAGGGAATGGAGTGAAAGAGGGAAAGAAAGGAAAGAGGAGAGAATGAGAACACAGGAGTTCCTGAGAGATAAGTTGCGTGGCGCCATACTCAATGCAGAGGGAGTTTTTCCCCTGCCTAGGAGGTCAGGGAAGGCTTCCCAGAGAGCCTTGCTCTTTGGGTTCTGCTCCTCTTGGTCCTTCTGGCCTAATTTCTGTAACTTTATGATCTGCCCACCCAATAGAGGACAAAAATATCTCCCTGTTGTCTGATGGGGAAATGAAGTTAATAAATCTCCTGGAAAGTTTGTGCGTCTCCATGGAAACAGTACATAAAGTACTCCTGCCACCCACCAAGAAGCACGGGGATGGGCAAAGCTCTCCGTCACACAGGACCTGCTCCTTCAAGCCTGCAGTTTCTCAGCCCAGGTTCTGTGCAGCCGAGACGCAGTTCAGAACTGGGGTGTGGAACAGGTGGTCCCAGAGGGCCTAAGAATACTCTCTTTTCTTTGCCTTCCTCATCAGTCTCTTTCATTCCTAACTCACGGAGTTTCTCCACAAAATCCACATTCAGACGCTTTTCAGTCATTTGACTGACTGTAGCCACATATGCAGGCATGAGTATACTGTGCCCAGATGCCTGCCGGAGTCCCCCAGCCACATACCCAACACACTGATAGTTGCATCCTTGCCATATACACAGTGGGATTTTTTGCCTTTTCTTTCCTTTTGTGCCTTTAACATTCTCCCCTTTGTATCCCCTGAACTTGCATAACTTGTAGCAGTTCTTCAAAAGCAGTATTAATATGCCCATTTTATAGATGAGGGATCTGAGGCTCAGCAAGGTTGAGTGTCTTGTTTATGCTGCCTGGCATCAGTCTGAATCGCTCCGAGCCTTAAGCTAAGCCTCTTTTCAACGATGCCGCAGCACTGCTGTCAAAGATGTACTTGTGAATTCAAAACAGCCCTTAGGCATATAGGTTACATTGGCACCAGGAAAACTAAGCAGTATTTCCATGACCAAATTCTAAGTGAATTCAGCACCTCAGGAGAAGAGGAAATGTTCTTTGCTGTCTGTGTAGATACCTCTTCTGCTTGCTTGGGTTTTATAACATTCTTCTAATTTTTATGTGTGATTGGACAATGCAGTTTTGGTACTGCTATAAAACTGCTAAAACCATGGACTGTTACTCTTGGTTTTAAATATCAAACCAGGTAAAGGAGAAGGAGGAACTTCTTAATGTAGAGAAGGGAAAAATCACTTAAATATCCAAACACACACCATATGGGAGACTTTTTACCCTCTTCTCCGTTAAAAACAGTGTGTTATTTCTCCCTCTAGTTTCCAGTTACTATTGAGGGATTTAGGATTTAGTGAGACTAGTGTTGCTGAATTAGCTTTGTAAGACAAGTCTGTTTACTTTTTACACTAATTTTCATGCTTACCACGGACTGACTCTGATTTAGTTCGAAGAAAGGTATTTCTAAAAAGCTGTTATTAACATTATGTAAAGGAAAAGTTGACCAGGCATGGTGGCTCATTCTTGTAATCCCAGCACTTTGGGGTGCCAAAGCAGGCATCACCTGAGGTCAGGAGTTTGAGACCAGCCTGGCCAACATAGTGAAACCTTGTCTCTATTAAAAATACAAAAATTAGTTAGATGTGGTGGTGGGTGCCTGTAGTCCCAGCTACCTGGGAGGCTAAGGCAGGAGAATCGCTTGAATCTGGGAAGTGGAGGTTGCAGTGAGCCAAGATGGCTCCATTACACTCCCGCCTGGACTCCATAGCAAGACTCCATCTCAAAGAAAAAGAAAAGAAAAGTTAATGATTTAATTTCCTTTAGTCGGGCATCTGGTAACCATGTATCAGAAGGTGAAGCATGTGTGGTACCTTAGAGATCATGCAATGCTGTTCCCATCCCATGAGTTAGGAAATTGAGGTCTGTGTAATTAATATGAATAAGTATTACTATTTTTCTTACAATAAAACGTATTAAAAACCGTGGAGAAAGACACGGATGGTCTGCAGTTCCATGTCTAAGTGGAAGCCCCTATTAATATTTTTATTTGCACTCATCTGTTTTCTATTCATGTACACTATATATTAATTTGACATCTTACTGTACATATCTGTTTTGAAATGTAATTTTTTAAAATTTAAATGTATCATGAAGATGCCTCATGTTATGGTTTTGTTCTTCATTCAGCAAATGTTAATCACTAACACTTAATATGGCTCTGTGGACCAGTTATTCTCCTGTGCGCATTACAAACAGTAAATCATGTATCCTCATAATGAGCTTCTGAGGTGGTAGCATTACTACCCTCTTTTACGGATGAGGATGCTGAGGCCCAGAGGGGTTACGTAACCTGCAGGGTTATGCGGTTAGGAAGTGGCAGAGCCAGAATGGGCACCCATTCTGTATGACTTCTCTGTCTCCCAGGACCTGGCCTGGCCCACGGTAGGCTAGCAAACGTGTGTGCTGAGTGAGTGCTGGTGTTTACAAGACTGACATGGTTTATGAGAACAGGGTCTTCCTGGTTTGGGGAATGGTACTGATTCACACCTGACATGTGAATTATTTCCTGAAGGTTCTATGGCCAGCAGAGCTCTAAGCCGACAATGTTTCTGAACCACTGATTGCCTCCAGGTGTGCAGAGGTTATGACACAGCAGTTTTAACACTTGACTTTGGGAGTTGTCTGGTTCCCCATTATCCCCAGTTTACACACTTTCACTAAGTCAGGATTCCATGTCTGTAGCTGTAATAGCAATGGAATAGCACTGTGCTCAAGGGCCTGGAGTGTTCCTTGATGTGTTTTGGGATTTCTAGCCAAATGAACTCAGCAAAAGTTAATCTCACTTTGCAGATTCCAATGATGTCTTTAGAGATTTTGTCCTAAATCAGTGAGCAGAATTTGATTACGAGTGAATTTAATCTGGGGTGGGGGGAACCCCACGCAGATATATACTTTCCTGCTTGTAGAGTAAAATCTCTCTTTATTATTACTTTTTTTCTGAAAGGGCATAACGTTAAGCCTTTTAATTATGTCTTTTGCTTTTCTAGGGGGTCCAGCATAACCTATTCTGTACAGATTATACATACTTCTTTCCATCATATATTAATGAATACAACTCCCTTTAGATGGAGATTGTGCTAGCTAGTATACAAAGTAGATAGGCTCTGCCCCTCAAGAAGTTAGCAAGCTAGTGAGAAAGATAAACAAAGATGCTGTGTTCTGTTTCTTTATCATAAGACATATGGATAAAGAATAAACAAAGGATACATGACTCTAAATATTGCAATACAGTACAGTGGAGGAAGGTTGAGTATGAACTTAGGAATAAGAAAAGAACTTTTTTTATGGTGATGTTATTGAAACATCCAAACCATGATATATTTAAGTTATCTTTTCAATGGTTGGACTTCCAAGACTTTTTTGAATGTATTCAGTCTAAGTCTGCAGAAATAGGAAAAGGGTTTATCCCTGACCTTAACAAATTCTTTGTTCATTAAATGGAGAAGAAGGAAGAATTGTCATATGCAACATTTTAAATGTAATTCAGAGTTTCATGTGAATTAGCGGAATTAACAGTAACCAAGGAAACTTCCCAGCCTGTTTGATCAGACCCTAGTTGGCAATAATAGACTGATATGGCAGGGAAGGGAAGGATTTTGTTTGTTTGTTTGTTTGTTTGTTTGAGAGAAAGAGAGAGTCTTGCTCTGTCACCTAGGCAGGAGGGCAGTGGCTCAGTCGTGACATGCTGCAGCCTCAACCTCTCAAGCTTAAGTGATCCTCCCATTTCAGCCTCCTGAATAGCTGGGACCACAGGCACATGCTACCATACCCAGCTATTTTTTAAATAAATTATTTACTGTAGATACAAGGACCCACCAGGTTTCCCAGGCTGGTCTCAAACTCTTGGCTCCAGCAAGTCTACTGCCTCCCAAAGTGCTGAAATTACAGGCATGACCCACTGTGCCCAGCCAAAAGGTGTGAATTATAAATCTAGCTGCATCACCAGCCACAGGTGTGTTCACAATCTGCATTCAGCTGTGAATTCAGACACCTGAAAAGTATTGGCTTAATAAGTTATGGCGAGTTCCCAAAACTCTTAATTTTCTCATGTAATGAAAAGAGGAGATAGGCATTAGACATTTCCATGGAAACAGACATTTCCATCCCATAATGTCTCTGGGACCCAGACACCTTTCCTCTTTCCCCCAATTATCCTTAGTGTGTGCTTCTCATCAGTAGTCATAAGGTTGCTGATTCTCCTTCTGCCACAAGTCCATGTTTTTGTTAGAAGAATGAGGCAGGCAAAGTGTAGGCACCAGCTGAATCAGCCCTCTTTCAAAAGCTTGCTCAGAAACCCTACCTAGTTACTTCCTAGTCTCTCACGTGCCAAAACCATGTCACATGACCACCCTCAGCTCCAAGGGAGGCTGGAAAAAGTTTTTTTTAGGGGAGCAAAGTGCTGTCTCCAATAAGATCAGGGTTCTGTTAAGATAAGGGAAAAGAGGGGCAGGATATCAGGTAGGAGTCTAATAACCTCTGTCCTATCAACTGGGAAATAAACTTAAACAGCATTTAGCTAACTTTTTTGAACACACCCTTGCTGCCTTTTCTTCATTAAATCTTCACAGACGCAGGTTCAGATTAAAGTGTATTTTCTGTAGTTGAAGTTGGCGTTGGGTTACCAGGGATATTTCTCCCTTCCATTCCCTCTTGATGATGCTATTCATTTGAAATATAGTTTGGTTCGTTTATTTAGTTTGTCTTCCATTTTCGGTTTATTTTTTACCTACCTTCACTGATTTTATTTATGTTTGTCTGTATATATGTGAATCTTCATATTTTTCAAGTCAAAACTATACAGAAAGAAATTGATGTTATTTGTCTGTTTATAGGTGGAACATTCATACGTTTTAAAAGTCAGGACTCTAGAAAAAGAAATACTCAAAGACATGTTACTCTCATCTTCCTTCTACTCCTTCCACCCTCCATCATTTCCACCTCATTCCTGCTCACCTGATGCCCAAAGGTGCTCAGTCTCATTTGTTTCTGTTTTAACTCCTGTGTTTGCTTTTGCAAAATGTGTACAGATTATATAAATATATAGGTATATAAATATATATCTATGTAGTTATGTAATATATATCTTTATATATAGATATGTTTTCTCATTTCCTTTTTTTCTTACACAACAGGTAGCATACTCTTTTTTACTCAGCAGTCTACGTAGATAGTTGTAAGAAATGAAATAATGGTCAGACCAGGGAGAATGACAGTCATCCGGTAAAAGAGGTAGAACCAAACAATGCAAGGGAGAGACCTCTGCTTAGGAAAGGTTTTATGAAGGAGGCTACATTTGAGCAAAGTCTTGAGAATGGAGGATATGGCAGGGAAGTGAAGGATTTTTCTAGACATTGATAGAGGAGGAGAACAACTAGGGAATGGCAGGGAAGTGGGGCCAGGTCAGGGATATATCAATTCAGGGGAGCCCCATGGTGGAGCTGAAGAATGCAAGTCTCTAGGGAAGAGGGTGACAAGATTGCGATGATACAGGGAATAATATCTGAGTGTTGCATGCTTTTCGTGGCTTATGGGGCTTTTA